TTATTTTCTCCTTCATTTATTCTGTGAAAACGAAGTTTTCTTTTTTTTTATTTGTCGTTTTATCTTTTTCTTTCCTGTGAATGCCGTCTTTTATTTTCTTTGACTTTTTTTTTTACTGATTTTTTTAATTCGATTCAAATTTATGCCATATTTTTTTTCAGATATTTTTCTTTTTTTTTCCAAAGTCTTTTTCCCTTTTTTTATGTCATTTCTTCTTTGATAGACTTCAAATTAACGAATGATTAAATTTTTTACTTTTTCTCATTCATTTTATTCTGCAATGTTTTATTTTCAGAACTGTTTTTTCTTTATATTTTTATTTTCGTTTTTGTTTCTTTAGATTTTCTCCCTGATTTCTTTTTTTTTCTTTATTCCTTTTTAATTTCTATTTTGTTCATTTATTCTTCATCTTTTTTCTTCCACTTTCCTTTGTCATTTATTTTTATTATTCTTTGTTTTTATTTTCTTCTTAACTTCTTTTTTATTTTCTCCTTCCTTTATTTTTTATTTTTTATTTTCGTCTTTGTCTCTTTTTTTACATTTTTTTTTTTAATGTATTTGAGGATTTTTTGAAATTATTTTTGGAAACAACTTTATCTTTTTGCAAACAACTATTTTTTATTTTCATTTTTCCTTTTCATATATTTTTATTTTTCGATTTTTTTTTAATGCGATGTAACCACCTTCAGTTTCTTTGTTGGCTTTTTCAGGTATTTTATTCTTTTACAAGCCCTCATTTTATGGTCTTTATTTTTTTATGGACATTCTTTTTTTTAAAGGCGGCTTAGAGGGAATCAGTCGTATTGTGAGAATGTTCAACAATGACCCCTGTAATTGTTAAGATTATTTAAGATTGGCGAGTTTTACTTTTTGCATTTTTTTTGTTTTCATTTTGGTTTTTTAATTGACCGTCAATATTTTTCTTGGAGCACCAGAACTTTGTGAGAGCCTTGCAGTTCCTGCTATTTATTTCTTTTTTTTCTTTTTCGGCTTTTTTTTATTTTCTTTTTCTTTCTTTTTTATATTTTTCGTCGTTTCTTTTTTATTTTCAGCTTTTTTTTTTCAATTTTATTTTTGAAAAAAAAAAAACCTGTTTTTTTTCTCACTTTTTTTTTCTTGCTTTTGATTTTTTTTTTACTCTTTAGGTTTTGTTTACATTTGCATATTTTGGAGGCCATTCACTTTATCACTTTTTAAACACTTGTCATTTCTTCGGTTTCCATTTTGATCCTGGTCTAAATTATTTTTCTCTGAAAAAAATAAAAAAAACATATCTGGATCTTCTGGATGTTCAGTTTGTTTAGTAATACTTCTGCTCGGAGCAAACGTTGTTCAAGTGAGCGTACCGACGTGAAATGCCTTTTCCTCATCACCTATGGTGACTTGCTAATCGCAGCTTAGATGTGGCACAATGCCGAAAGTGATTATTGAACTCTATACTCAGTCGTAATAACTCTAGCGAAAAAAGTTTTCTAACCATGACTCCACGTCAAAATGCCGAAAGTAATTTTCTAAGTGTGGCTAAGATATGGTACATGGTCGAAAGCGTGGGGCACCTAGTGAGGATCGTACTCACTTTTCAATCGTAATTTATCTAGCGATCCAAGCTTGCAAACCATTACACCACGAGGATGTGACCTAATGATTTTCTAATCGTGTCTTAGATGTGGTACAAGTTCCTTTTTGAAACTGTCTGGTTGTACAGCACCCATAAACCTAATGGACTATTCCGGGTAATAAATACTGCGCCTCAGGAGAGAAGCAAGTTCTCGGGAATGCCCGGGCGACCGGGGACAGTTGAACTCTCTGTCTTCATATTAGTCAACAGCTACTTTGGACGGTTAAATTTCATTCGGGTAATAAACCGACTCTGAACCCGCGGGGTTTAAAGGGCATATTTTTTGGCCGAGCCCACGGTCTCGGGATCCCACGTTAAAAAAGGCATTGTGCCAAATGACACCCTCGTGGGGGTGACTGAATATCGTTCGTCTGAAGTTCGGCTGACCGGCTGATCGGTTGAACTCTCTGTCTTCGGGTGGGGAGGAACCTGAACGAGGCTACGCCGAAGGGCGGAGTTTCGTTCGGGGAGGTAAACCGACTCTGAACCCGTTTATACGGGTTTTAAAAGGGCATATTTTTGGCCGAGCCCACGGTCTCGGAGATCCCACGTTAAACCGGCATTGTGCCACATGATACACTCGTGGAGGGTGACTAAATACCGTTCAGTCTGAAGTTAGGTGACCGGCTGATCAGTTGAACTCTCTGCCTTCGGGTGGGGAGTAACCCGAACGAGGCTACGACGAAGGGCGGAGTCGCTTTCGGGGGAGGTAAACCGACCCTGAACCCGTTTATACGGGTTTTAAAAGGGCATATTTTTGGCCGAGCCCACGGGCTCGGAGATCCCACGTTAAACCGGCCTTGTGCCACATGATGCCCTCGTGGGTGGGGGTGATTAATACCGTTCCGTCTGAAGTGAAGTCTGAAGTCTGCAGTGAAGTCCGTCAGGAGTCTGTCAGTCAGTCAGAGCGAGCGAGTCAGTCGAGTCAGAGGCAGTCCGAAACAGAGTCGCGTTCAGACAATTACTACTAAACCTGATTGTTCATACTAACACTTCTACTTCCCTGTATATATTCCTGTTTGCAATATATCTGTGTTATTCCATATCCGCCTTCAAGTTCTTCTTTATTGGTTGTACCTTGGACTATCACCGTGGTACAAAGAACCGGACCATAACACTACTCGTAATTGATCTTGCGAGACATGCTGGCTAAGCATTACACTAGGTGGACGTTCTCAAAATGATCTTCTAATTTCAGCTTAGATGCGGCACAAGGCCGAAAGTGTGGAGTACTCAGGATCGAGTTCACTTTTCAGTCGAAATTGATCTATCGATGTTAGTTTCTAACAATTACACTTCGTGGAAGTGCCCGATAATGCGTTTCTAAGCGTAGTTTAGATGTGGCTCAAGGCCGAAATTGCGGAAAAACCCAGTGAGGATAGAACTCACCAAACAGTCGTAATTGCTCTAGCAAGACAAGCTTGCTAAGTGTTAAACGAGGTCGATGCACCCCCTTTTCTTCATCCCATTTAACTTTGTAGCGAATCTCTTCATGCACTACATTGGGCCCTCCTATAATAGATCTCTGGCAATGGTTCTCATGAATATTTTCGTATTCGTTTTGATATTTTGTGGCATCGCTGCACGAATTGTAACCTCCTGATACTGTCCGACCGCTACGTATTTACGCGTCGCTACATGCCTTACAACGCCGCTGGAGGTGTCCACCTCCTTTTAAACTTTGTAAATAAACGACTGGCAATATCTAAAATTCGTATAATCTCGATATATTTTAAATCTCTATTTTCTTTTTTTTTCTTTAGTTATACCCGCTTTTTACTTTTCCACTATAATTTTTCTTCATTCTTTTTTTTTTTTTTTTTTTGCCTTTTAAATCATACATTTTCATTGTAACATATTTCCTGTCTGTAAATTTCGATGTTTCGTTGTTCCGTAAAGTCAAATTAGCTGCGGCTTTTTGTACAGCAGTGTTGACTGGGCAAAAAATTTTACACAGAGATTTCACATGTGCTTTTTAAAATGTCTGGGCTAGGGTTGACTAGTCTTCACTTTCCTCATAGATCGTCTACGCGTCGTTGTGAGTGATCAATAATTTTTTTCCTACAACCCCTTATCCTCAGACGAAACTTTGAAAACCTCTCACTATTTCCCCGACGATCGACAGATTAGTTCCACCAGAGCTCTCCTTCACAGATCGTCATTCCATGTACCCGACAACGAACCATCCTGATTCCACTAATATTCCACTAATCGCTTCAACATTAACGTCTTAAAGTCTAGACTTATCTGTTGTCTTATACAGAAAATGACAGAAAAATATAGGTGTACACATAAAATGCTACCATTTTCGTTGATGGATAAAACAAATTCAATATTGTAAAAGAGAAACGAAAAGAATAGTCTGAAATATGTCTTCCGTTGCCAAAGAGAATAAAATGGCCGCTGGAGTTTATCTGAATGAGCGAGATAACTGCAAAAAAAAAAGTATTTTTTTTTTTACATTGGTCGATGATCACTCAATGGAATGGGGTTTCTTTATTGGTCGTTTATCAGAAACTCGTAAACGTCATTAGTAATGCGGAGGGCGTGCGAAATTGAATGTAATGTGAAGACATTTATTTGGACCATTCATAAAATTGATTTCTTATAAGAATGTTGTATTAAAATTTAGTGGTGAGAGGCGGAGTAAAGTGGCTATACGAAATTCATCATTTCACTTATATCCATATGGGTATATCTGTATGTTAAATGCTTTGTCTATCTAAGCTTTTCTAAGTTAATCTAAACTACTCTCTTTCTATCTATTCCTCTACATTCCAACCCATCTATCGTATTCGAGTTAGATCTATCTATATATATATATATATATATATATATATATATATATATATATATATATATATATAATTCTTTATTCGTAAAATATATATATATATATATATGTATATAAAAGTGAACATAGAAGTCAACACTTAGAGGCGACAGTCTGTTTCATGCTAGATGCAATCCTCAGGCCTGGCTGCACATTTAAACATACACGCACATTTAAACATTCACGGAAATGTTCATAACGAGAAACGAAACATAGTCGTCGGGAACACATATGTGACATTGGCTACCAATGGAAATACTGTCTAAAGATAATGGAATCACTTATCCTCAAAAATAAAACAACCCGCAATAGTATTCATTATACTCACGGACACAGTGTACTTTACATATTCGGTATTCAATCATACATCTATTTTTCAACAATTGCACTTAAATGATTTTTAGCAACACTAGAGTCTTAGAAACTCGCATAGAGATTGACAGAAACAAATGACTTTTTAGTAATTTCCAGTTACATGGATTCCACAAAACAATGCATCGATAAAATTAAGGAAAATACAGTAAAAATTCAGTCATTTTTCAACGAAACATACATATAATATATATATATATAGAGAGAGATAGATAGATAGATAGATAGATAGATAGATAGATAGATAGATAGATAGATAGATAGATGTGTCAGACTCTACCCAGAACCTGAAGATTGCACTGTGCATAAATCTCCGAGTCTTGCTATAGTTGAGGGATAATATATGTTTATTAATATATACTTAATATCTCTGTTATATTGCATCGAGTGCTATTTTATTAACACCAGCACTGAATATGGGATATCTTAACATTCATATATATATATATATATATATATATATATATATATTTATGGATTAAAGTACACGATATCAGGTATAGAGTGTATCTAAATAGTAAAAAAGGACCCTGAGGTCAACGCAATCTTGGATCCTCTGCATTTAAGCAGGAAACAGACTGTCAACGCTGGGTTTTACTAATGTATCTACTTATATTATTATAATCTGTAATAATAATAATAATATTTTCTTTTTTTTTTATATATATATATATATATATATATATATATATATATATATATATATATATGACTGTTGAAAAAAAAAGTTGCGCAATGAAAATAAAACGTATCTTTCTCTTAGAAATTTGCATTTGAAAGTATGAGTTACACAACAGAATAAATTGTTACCTTTTTAAACGAATTTCTTTTTATATAAACGCATTTGGAAGGATGTCCCATATATTTTCCATTAGATTGCTCTTTGACAAGTTTGCAGGTCTGCCCGTAAACATGCGTTACGAAGTGATGGCTAATGAGCATAGTACGTTTTGTCATTACTGCTAATTAATGAATGAATTTGCACCTCAGTGAATGTTCTATACGATAATTCGAAATTCAGTGACTAAATAATGTTGCTATTGAATAACTCTGCCAAGGGTTATTTGACAGCCCAGCAAGGGTTGACATGTTTTAAAATAAAACTAAAAAATAAACATTGCAAGGCTCAATACCAAAATATTCAATAACCATGTTAAGTTATTGAATAACTTAACTTGGGTTGACATATTAAAAATAATAATAAAAAAACAAAAACAATACGGAGCCCTATACACTAATAGTTCATTGAATGACCTAGTATCTCTTGACCTGTTTTAGAATAAAGCTAAGAACATTGTGGTTTCTTTTACACTGGACATTGTATAAGCCAATAAAGTGGAAATATTTACGGTCTCTTTACCAGCGCAAGAAGTTCCAGATCTCGATTCTGAGACACCGACTGAGAATCGAACTCGCTAAACAGTATCAATAGCGAATTACACGTTCTATTGCTTAACGGCTCCCTAAAATACTCGACTTAGCCTAGTTCTGACAAAAGGCCACATCTACGGGGTCCACTGAATATGCAGATCGTGCTTAGCGTTCGATTGATGGTTAGTAAAACCAGGCCGCTGAACACTACCTACATGACTGTCAAAATGAAATATTCCGGGAATCTATTTCTCTACGCTTAATGCTTGCACGGCGATAAATTAAACCAAGGAAATATCGCCGTCGACAGAATGAGTCGAATGAGATACTTCAGGACTTAATACTACTCACCTTACTTTCAAAAGATATCTAATGCATTTTCTCTGTTCTGTTAGATGCATGCCCTCTTTTAAATGTATAGAATGTACACTTAATCATGCATGGAGTAATGTGTGAGTTAATAGACTTTCTTACAAGGGACAGAGTTGCCAACGCGGAGTTATGAATGTTTATAAAGGGAAAAGTCCTTACGGTAGCTTCTCGTATTCTTAGTTCAATTCATGAAGGCAATCCGTCAATAATTTCACTGGAGAAATGTTACATTTGTCCGCCCATTTTCTCCTCTATGGCTCCTTGATAATTTGAGATTTTTGTCGTCCATAATTTACTGAAAATACAGCGGCTTCATTTTCCGTATATTTTGCAATGAATGCATTTCACATTTCTGCGGAGAGGCTTGTTTTATCATACCTATTTCGGTACAGACTTTTAGGACCGGTTAGTGTCCGGTCATCATGTCAATTTGATGGGTAAGATTTTCTTACCATTTTCCGTTCGGAATCAGAAGTTTTTAACTCTCCAAGTACAATTTAGTAACTAATCAGCCCATTGAGAAATATATGGGTTTTATTTATTCATTTTTTTTTTCAATCATTCTACACAAACTTTTTAAAGAAAAGCACACATAAGCAAAGGAAAATATCACGGCAGATTTTTTAAAATATTTATTTGTACGTACATTTAACTGTTATGAAATAAAACAATAATTTTTACAGAAAAAAAACAAAAAAAAAAACAAATATGAACTAACTTCAAAGATTTTTTTTCATATATATATATACAGCGATTTGTGCAGGTTATTTAGTGTGAAATCTGTACCGGGCATTTTTTCGTGATTCCTTCAATGTTTAGGCGAATGTACGATGAGCAGATCGATAATTTTTCTTCAGTTGAGCGTAGTCTTTCTAACTTCTTTTTATTTAATGTAAAGCTGGGAAGCTTAACTTACATAAATAATTAGAAATTTGCAATAAAACTAATAAATTCTTTTTTAGCTAATGTGGTATCAGAATTTTAATACTTATTCATTAATACAAATACTAATTCTGTACCATTACTACTTCTACTTACACACACACACACACACACACATATATATATATATATATATATATATATATATATAAATGCTGTCACAATATTTTGCGGCAAAATTAAAAGACACGGCTGTTGAGTATCACTGACGTCGACCTTCGAGTGTAAAAATCTATATTAGATATAAGTTCCTAATTCTTATTGTTGTGGTAGGATCCACCTAATTTGCATAGTGGAGTACCGACCATATAAATATGGTTGGTAACGGGAACACGAGGAGAGGAATCAAGAGATTCAATCCAGAGACTGTGCCCGACTGCGACTAAGTCAACACATTCTCCAGGAACGGTCTTCCCAAGAATATACAAAAGACTACATGTAAATATTGTGTACACTTTCTTGTTTCAATACATTTTGTTCTAAGTACATTTTGTGTTCCATGCATTAGTCAAGTTTCAACACTTATTAATAGACAAAGAACTTCATATATATATATATATATATATATATATATATATATCGTTAAATATAACAGACAAGAAAAAATTATATACATATAAATAGATATTAATGTAAAATAAGTAATTGAAAATGATAATCAAAGTAGGTCTCTACAATATAAAATATTAAAAAGACCGATCCATAAAGAGAGGTCAATTTATGGTGTACTGAGCAATATGAAATAAATCATAATTCATAACTGTGTTTTCTATGATGCGTTAAGTATTGCTTTGAGATATATATACAGTGTAACCCGGATATAAGAGAGTTGTCGGGACCGGAGAAGAAGTCTCTTATATCCGGGTTTCTCTTATATCCGGGTTTGGTCTATTTTGTTTAGGTAAGTATGGGCTCTAAATTGGGACTAGAGAAAATCTCTCTTATATCAGGGTTTCTCTTATATCAGGTTCTCTCTCTCTCTCTCTCTCTCTCTATATATATATATATATATATATATATATATATATATATATATATATATATATATATATGTATGTATGTATATAAATAAAAGAAAGAACATCAAGATATATAATCCGGTGTTCTTATAGATATTTTTATTTTTACTAAATAGTGCTCAATGTAAATTTACAGAGTATTAATATTATAAATTAATTGATTTAAAAATATGTTTTTTTTTGCTACACAGTTCTAACCATGTTTCAAACATTACTTCCATTTCATCATCCAGCGAATTCGCTTGAGGATGAAATGGAACTAATGTCTTTAATTTAATCACAAAATTAAATTCGTGGCTTTTAGCTTCCATTTTTGAAACATGGTTAGAACTGTGTAACGAAAAAAAACATATTTTAAATCAATTAATTTATAATATATATATATATATATATATAAGATGTATTTATATATAATCAATGAATGGATATTTATTGATATGTGTGTGTTAGTTTATATATTTGATGCATTTGTAGATTCAAATAAACGTTTGGCATGAATAATTCTACTGAAGTTATTACTTAAAGTAACCCATACTTTGGATTGTATCCTGAAATATATAACTTTACCACCCTGTCTCGAACGATTTAACAAATGTGTCTTTTCGATAAATTTGGCGGCAAAATGCCTTTCCTTCCAATCTTCATTCGCGCGCCAACAACCAGTATAAATCCAGTGTTTTTTTGTTTTTTTTTTTTCTGACGCTTTAAACAGGCCTTCCATATTACTTAGTAATATTCATAAAATACAAACAATTATCTATGTTCTGTGCCCCGCGTCCCTTCGGAACATAGGTTAACATGTCCCTCCGCAACCTTGTAATCCCTTATAGGCTTTAGCAGTTGTGACCCTTTAATTTCCGGCTTCCTGTTCCGGTTCTGTGCACAAAAGTTCGTTAAGCAAGTGACGCACTGCATTCCTCCATCTTTCTTGCCTTTAATATGCCCCGTGTGAGTTAATTTCTCTGAGCACTCCTTGCTGAAATTCATTCGATAATATGTCCAGTGGATTTCAGATGCCTTTTTTCCTGATTCTGAGAAGTGTTCTTTCTGTTGGCATTTTGTTTTAGACGTCCTTGTTGCTTCCTAGATCTGTCTATGGAATTTTCAGTATCCTTCTGTAAAACCACATCTCTGCAGTTCTCTCTTCATCTGTGGGAAGATTGTCAGGCATTAAGTTCCATATCCCAAACTCTTTTCTTTATTTTTCATGATTTTTTCCAGTTAGCAGAATACTTCTTTCGATCGGCAAATGCGTCTACGGATCGGTGTCGTATTTTTCAGCCTTTCTTATACTTGTCATGTCATCTACTCTGGAAAGAGAATACCAGTCACATGAACTCCTGCTGATGACCCTACTTTCTGTCTTTTGCAATTGATAGTCCTTTTTTTTACGTTTACTTCTACTACCCTTTCTAGAAATCCTGCAGTTATATTTACGAGTCGGAAATCAACACTGTATCATCTGCGTATCTTATATTGTTAAGATTATGCCCAGCGATAATCAATCCTGGTACGAACTCCTAGTTTTCTTAGGATACCGTCGTTGTAGAGGGTGAATAAATCTGGAGAGAAAACACAGTCTT